GACATGAGGACATGTGTGCGAGATCGGTGTTGTGCACTTGAGAGCCAGCACACCGCACACCGCACACCGCACACCCCTCGCAATCCAAAGCAAATACCTGCGAGATCCCCTGTCCCGAAAGATGACAGCTAGGTGCGGGATTTGTCATTTTGTCGCTTGCTGTTGGCTGTTTGCTATTCACTGCTGGCCCAAGTCAATCTCCTCTCAGCCACTTGACTTGACATGCCTGGCATTATGGCATTATGGCAACTAACACACACTCCTCCATCGCTTCGTTTCGTTTTTTTTTTTTTTTTGCAGTTTTTTTGGATTTTTGGGATTTAACTTACAGGTCGACGGCGGCGGCGAACGGAAAGCCGGCGCAGATGCAATCGAAGCTGGTCCAGACGGAAATTCGAATCGCCGCGGGTCATCAGCTGCATGGAACCTCCAGTTTGCCAGTTCGCCAATCCACCAGTTTGCCAGTTTGCCAGTCGAAAGTCAAAGTCAACGTAGAAACCAACCTGATCCTCCCCCAGAACCGAAACCGAAACCCTCTCCCTCGCGATTTGTCCGGCGATAAAGGCATTCGGAGCTGGTCGATCGATTGGGCCCTAAGTAGCTTGCACCTGGCCAAGTTCCCCTCGATTACTCCACGATTTTTACCCGAGAGCAGGGGAATCGAATCGAGCTGCGCTCAACCACCCACTGCAGTGGCTAAAATGAGATCTCGCAGCTCTTTTGGTGCCATGTACTATATGAAAAGTTGGCACCAACTATCAAACAGTCGTCATTTTTATACCCTTGCAGTGTTCAATTAGTTGTAGTTCAAGACGATCTTATAGGGTACATAAATTATACGATTTACCAAGTAAATCTCAATTTTAATCTTAGCTGTTATGCATTAAAAAACCTTAGTCAAATACTCAAACTTTACTTCCTCTGATTGTGAACTTCCCTTGAAATACAGAATAAGTAGATTAGAACTTTAACAAAAAGAATAATAGTAATGCCTTAAGCTTTCATATTCAAACAGTGAGGAATAGGAAGTTATAGGATGAGACTATCCCTGAAATCTGAAACGTTAACCTGTCCTGGTCTCGCCTCATCCATTTCCCATCTGAAATCTCCATTAGCAGAGCCATGCACATCTGCTAAATTCCCAGCTGGGGCCTCAAACTGAGTCACTGGCGATCGTGAGAACTTGGCTTAATTGATTTCTACAGGCTTGGCCAATGTACGCCACCAGTGGAATCGGAATCGGAATCGAGTGCCACATATGGGGCAGCATTGGATTGCACAAGTTCAAATGCCACGCATGACCGTCACAAATCCAATGTAATCTCCGTTCAGATTTTTCATAATACAAATGGGGAGTTCAAGATTGGCTTCAACAATTCTATACCCTCTCGTATAAAAACAACGTTTTCAGAGGAAAACCTTTAGAAAAAAAACAAAACAGTTTAAAGCAAAGAGTCCAATTTGCTAAATTTGTTTAAAAATCACACAGCTAAAAATTGCTTATGCAGAATAATAATAATAATAAGGAGTAGTTTTATTTATTTTCTTTTACTTTTGGATAAACAAAAAAGAACTAATAAAAATTTATTAATTTTTTTTTAATTTTTTATAATTTATGTATAAGTTTTTAGTGTTATTGAATTAGATTTCCAAGTGTATAAGAACTTTTTGTGTGTCTATAAGTGTGCATCTGTGTTATCTGGTGAAAAAGAACTACGTTTTTCGCCTGCAGCATGCTCATGCTATTTTTTATTATTCGTCCTCCCTAAGTGATCGATCGAAATTAAATAAGAAAAGTAAGCCCAATGCGAAGGGCAGGAAGGAAGAAGGAAGACGGCCAGGCGCTGCGATCTGGTTGCCACAAAAAGTGGCACACTGCAGGCTGTGCGATGGTTAATGTGCGTTTAGATATCAAGACGTGTAATTTCCCAGCTTTGGTTTAAGCTGCAGCCACGGTCGATTTCGTAGTCTCTTTTGGTGGATGAGCTCTTTTGGCTTTGCCAGACACTTGTCAAAAGGACCAAGGATTATCTTACAGGCACACCAGTTGGCCATTTAGCCCAAGGACCCAATTCGACCTACATTCGGAAAAAATATTTTCATAATATAGTTTCTAAATATTTTAGAAAATGTTTGGATTTTGAAAAATAACCATGATTCGGAACCACATCAGGCTTTAAAATTTCAAAACATATAACACCACGAAACACAAAAATGTTTTTCTATAAAAAATTTTGTTTTTAACTTTTAGGTTAAAATTATATATAATTTTGTTATAGTTTGTTTATTATACTCTTAATTTTCAATTTTTGTTCTATTTTTAATAAATTGTTTTTGCTTTTAATTACCACTTTACTACAATCAATCACTTAATAAAAGAAAAAAATAATAAAAATGTATAAATCAATTTTTAAAGATATTTCTTAACAAAAATCTTGGCTTAGTTGAACTCCACGATTAAGACCCAATTTAAGGGTCGAAAATATACGAACTTGCTCCATTTTTATGGTGGCAGTATGTTGTTAGAAGACTTCATGAGTATTTATTTCAATTAAAATAAATCCTTGACGAGCGAGTGGGGGGATTTGCGAATGACCTTGGGCACACGCACTAGTACTTATCATGCGGATTATCATTAATTTGGGGTATAATCGCAATGATGGACCCAATGGGATACTCTAACCTCTGGACGATTGCCCCCGAAAAGGGGGTGGGGGTTGTGGGTGGATGGGGGGTAGGTGCACTGCTTAGCCGACGGCGAAAGAAGCCCCCTGTGTGACAGGGACAGGGATAGAGAGAGGCGATAGACTTTCTCTCTTTGCCATGCGCAGCCATCCATTCCGCTTTCGACCAATAAAGCGGGGAGTAGGTGCACCTGGCCGAATAAGAGAGGCAGCGAGAAAGAGAGGGCGCCAAGCGCAGAGAGGGGGCGAGAGCGAGAGAGAGCTAGATCGAGAGAGAGGGGAGGTCCTGGCGACACATTTTCATGTGTCACACGGAGTCCTGTGGACCCACTGCCTCCCTTTTTCTCCTCTTTATCCTCCTCCTCCTCCTTCTCCTTCGAGTCCCTCCCTTCCCCTCGAGATCGCCGCACTCTGTCGGACTTTCGGATTGGGCGCTTGTGCGGGGGAACGGGAGCGCTCTATGGACATCAGTCGGCAGGATGTGGGGCAGGTCCTTGGTTAAGGATTTGACCACCCTCCCTACCCCCACCCCCCACCTCCACCGCATTTTATCACCCCCATTGCAGAATATGTATCGCCTGCATCTGTGTGCTCATCTTGCGGGCACACACACACACAAACACAACTACAACTCCATGTGCAACTTCTACATGGGCACACAGGATACAGGATACACACTCACGTATTTACTTTCGCATCCAATAAACAAAATGTGTCTACAAATCCAAGAACACACACACACTATATACACACAAACTTATACATGTGTATGGGGATATAAATGTATCCCATTTGTATGCAATTGACATTCGGTTTCTGCATGCAATTCTCTCGGGTGGGGCTTTTCGGTTTTTTTTTAACATTTCACCGGGGCTTACAATTGCAGCTCAGAGCTTAAAGGCTTAAAGAAAATTACCTCAATGCACAATGCAATGTTGGGTAATATAAGCCTAAGATATTCGTAGATCTTAATGGTCTTAATGGTCTGGCGTTTTCAATGCAAATAAGCAAAATATTCATGTTTAGCACGTTATCTCAATTGTCTGGGATTAAACTCACTTATTTACATTAATATAATTTAACATTTTAGAAGCTTATATTCAACGAAAGGTCATTATCAACAGATCCAACGCTCTTTTCAGCAATTCAGTAAAAGATCTTTTTTTTTAACACAAAATGTCTTAAATCATGCTGGGAAATAAAAAGGGTAGTCTTTCGCCATTATTTGATCGCAACATTGGATTCAAATATGTGACGTAGCATACTTTTGAACGTCCTTATTGGTGATTTCAAATCTAGGCAGGTTTTAACATCTATGTTATTATAACCAATAGATATACCTATTTTTATGTTTAGAAACTATTCCGATTCATTGCTTAACTAGGAATTAAGCACAACTGGTGCCCAAAAATAAACACTTAAACCAAAATATGTCTTTAAATGAGACTGGTAGTAGTTTAAAGAGGCAACTTCTGTTGCACACATAACATTTGGAAAGCTCAAATAAAAACTGATGGTGGTATGTCGTGCTTTTACCTGCTGCCTTGTTATTTTTTAAGTCCTAGGATTATAAGTAAACATATTAAAAATGTATTCCAGCTCTAGAAATACAATTTTATTTTAGAAATTCCCTTATCGTAATACCCGTTCAGTATAAGTTTTGAAATTGTGTTATGTTTTATAAAAGTTCGTATATATTTTAAACCTTATTAAACACTAAACATTACAAAAATTTGTTTTTTATGGGACTTCGAGAAACATACATACATATATTAAAAAAATCTGTCTTGTCTTCTCCAATTACCATTCCCACGAAAAGTACCAATTGCCCATCAAAATATTCTATTGATAAATAATTATACCCAACGATAAGGAAGAAAAAAAATAATTCGTCGACCATAATGCCCCAGGACTCTCTCTTCTCGCAAAAGAGAGCGCCTGAGGGCACTTTGCTCTCTAGCGCCTCTCTTAAAACCGAGAACTGCTTTCCGACTGCTTGCTTTTGGCTCTCGCTGGCGGCACAATTGTGTGAGTGCGAGGGAGCCGGCACTACAACGAATGGACAACAATTGTTTGCAAGTGTGTGTGCGATGGGGTGCGCAATATAAGTGTGTGTATGTGCGAGTGTCCAGAGAATCCACATGTAAATAGAGGCGCGCTGCGCGTTCGTTTGTGTGGCTGTGTGTGTGTGTGCGTGCTTTGTTTGGCTCCCAGACGTTGTGTTGTTTTTTTTCTTCGTTTCTTCGGTTTTATTTTTTTTTTTTTTTTTTTTCGTGAGCGGAGCGCCAAGCGGCAAAAGCAGCAAAAGCGGCGGCGACGTGATTTCAAACAGTGAAGTCGACTTGCCGCTGCCGCATCGCATCGCACCGCACACACCGCAATCGGTAATCGGAATCGGAATAAAAAAAAAAACAGAAAAGAATCGGAATAGCCAGCGGTCGAAAAAATTTGTTGTTTATGCCACAACCCAACAACAACGTTAAATAAAATAAGAAACCAACCGACAGAAAATTATAAGAATATTCAAAACCGAAAAACGTACAACCACATCTTTTGCGTAGCGCGTTCGTTTTGCCGTCGCTAAAACCGTTAGTTTATATTTTGAGTTTTGTATATTTTTTTTATTGTTCCTACATGTTTTTACAGTGCAAAAAAAAAAAAAAAAATGAAAAACCAAAAATAAGAAAAGAACAAACTACAAGGATTTGAGTGTATTGGTATTGGTAAAGTGCTCCGCCCCTCGCAGGACATTTGTGTGGGTGTAAAAGGGGTGGGGAAAGAGGGAGGGGGTTTGGTGAGAGAGGAGGGGTGGGGAAGGTCTCCGCTCAGGATAACAGCGAATGTCCTGCTTCGTGTGCCTGCTATTTATTTAGTTTCCTATTTTTTTTTATCCCAATGCCCCTTCGGTTTTTCGCGCCTTCTCACTCGCACTCGCTGCAAAGTGTCGCCCTCGTCGGTTGTCGCTTGTCGTTTTGTCGCTTGTCGTTTGCGTCTTTTGGATTGGCTTCCTTGGGTTTTGCACAAGTGCGTTCGGTTTTTTAACCACCCCCCACCGCCCACCTACGCCCACTTCTTGGATTGGATTACATAGCGCCCCTCTCTCTTACTTTTTCTGTTTCTGTATTTTTATTTTTTTTTATATTTTTTCCCTTCTTTTCGTCGTCGTGTCCCCAGCATCTCTGCCGGCGGCGCTGCCGACGTCGACGTCGACATTTCGTTTTTTGTGACTCGTTTTTTGCGTGCGTGTGTGCGAGTGCGTGAGTGTGAGTCTGTGTGTGTGTGTGTTTGGCTGCGTATACGTGTGTGTGTGTGCTCGCTAATATTGTCGTCGAGTGTCATTGGTCGAAAGGCAAACGATGGGAGAAGGGGGAGGAAGGGGGCCGTGTGGGGATGGGGTATTTTATTAGAACGAGAGAGAGTGGGCAAAGGGGGCGTGGGCGAGTAGCCGAATGGGTTTTTGATTGTGTGTCGTCGCTGTGCGGGTGTATACGTATGTATATACGTATATGTGTGTATGTTGGTCTCTCTGGTTGTTTGGTGTCGCATGCAAGAGCGAGAGCGCGATAAGTGCATGTGGTGCATAAGCGTATGTAGGTGCAAGCGAGAGCGAGCGAGTGCAAAGTGCATAAAAGTTTTTGGCCAAGCGAAAAATGGCGACATCATCGGGTCGCAAAAAGCAGCGACGGCGACAGCGCGGTCGAAATAGCAGCGCCAATTTTGTTCGGTTTGTCGCGCGATTTTATAACCGTTTTCAAAAGCGGCGGCACTGTGACCTGTCGTCCGTCCTCCTCGCACGGAAGATATTGGCAAGAGTGGGGCAACAAGGACCCCCTTAGGAACAAATTCAAAAAAAATAAATTAAGGATTTAATCCCTAAATGAGACAACAATAAAAAAAAAAACCAAAAGAAATATAAAAACTTAGTGCCGGGACTTAACAACACACGTATGCTTATTGTCCATCTATTTTTTAGCCAGTTATGAGTTGATCAATATGAACAGCAGCAACGATAAGGAAGAGGACAACGAAGACGTATTTTAAGAAAAATTATAAATAATTTAAAATTTAATTAAAAAATAAAACACCCAAATAACAAACAACAAAAACACGGAGAGAGCATTTCGAGAACAACAAATAAATCTCGTGCACACGCACGTGGGGTTGCATGTGTGCGTATGTGCATCTGTGTGTGTGTGTGGGTGAGAGCAACTAAATCAGCATCTACAACTACAAGCTCAAAAATTAAGGAACTGAAGCAACGCACCAAAACAACGCACACTTAACACAAGTTCAGGTGAGCTAAGCTATCAATAGCTGGTAAATCCTACCAATCACCCATCAAATGTCTTGTATCACTTCGAATACAATAAATATCTTCTAATAAAACTAAAGGGCAAGAAAATTGGGAAAGTTTTAAGTAATATAACATTCAAAAAATTCCTGTCATATAATCTTATTCAAGATTTGATCAGGAACTGCCAAAAGCACTTAATATAGACCAAATTCTTATAATAGGGGAAAATAAATAACAAATATATTGAGAGATTTAAAAGTAACAGATGCAACTTTAGTGTGGGCCCACTGCTCGTATACGTAATTTTTTATAATACACACTTTATAAGACATTTAAAGGCATATTACAAGTTCAATATATGTATCTATAACATTTACTTTGTATATATTTAATATTATTTAATATTTTCATGTTTTCATTAAATATTTTTTGCTATTTTGCTAGCCAAAAGGCTTGGTTTGTGAAGCTTCCAAACGACTTACACTTTTAGCATAATTACGATCATATGTAACACATGTACCGGTTCCATGTTCCCTGTCAACTTTTCAGTCTAATCTCTAATTTGATCAAGTGCGGTTTAATACGCCTATTTATGCACAAGTGAGACTTTGTTGCTTTTATAGTTTCCGGTTACGTTATCAAGATTTGTGTTTGGAGCGCCGATCTTTGGTAAAAAAAAATTCAAAATACTTTTAAAACGATTAAATTTAGTCTAGCACATTAAATTGCTATTGAAGTATAAAAAAATGATGGGGTTTTCAATGAAATTTTGATTAACCAAAATGGCAACCATTTGTTATTGCATTACGTTCTTGGAAGATCGTAATGTAGTTCAATGAGGGTTTGGGAAAATTCTTTCAAACGAAATTTAAATAAATCTCACTTATGCTTTATATCTTAAAGAGCAAAGTAATTGAACAAATATATTTTTTTTCGACGGGAATCCCTTTCCTAATTCCGGACAGAAGGCCTATGGGCCCATCTTTGCCAGCAATTTGCAAAGCTCTTTTCATTCAGCCTTGAGTTTTTCCCTCAAACGAGCACTCCCCACTTTTTTCCCAGCCATATCTTCCATCTGGATTTTCTCATGAATTAAACAGGTCATTTTTGTTTTATTAATTCTCTTTTTTATTCAATCTCAAGGTCGGTTCCGCGCATATCTTTGTGTGTTCTGTGTGTACGCGCACGTGTGTGCCTGTATTTGGTGGAGGTTTTTGTCTAAACATTGATTTCCTATTCGCAGAAGTGATGAACAATAAATGAAATGTGGATAATATCTGAGTTCTTCATTCGAGAATGACAAATGAAGACACAAGAAATTCAGAACGGTAGCAGAGCGAATGAAAATCACTGCGGCTGTGTGAGTGGGAATATACCTGACAACAGTTCCGACATTTGCCTTTTGTCTTCACGTTTATCTCAACCTTTGTCAAATATATACTCGTATACATATATGTAGGTATAGTAGATATATATATTTTATCATTTATATATGCATGCTTGTATGTATGCGTGCTGCTTGTGTGTGGGCGCGAGTGTCGAACGGAGGCCATAACTATATAGTCATATAATCGGTTGTTCGTGAGCTGTAAACACAAGCATTGTAAATTTACACCATGCTTATAATTAGCAATAGAACGGCAGTTGACTTTTCCAGCTTTATTTACAACGGCCCCCCTACACCCAGACCTCCGCCTACAGTCAGTCCCCCAAGCCGCATATTTCGCATCTCTTCACTGCAACCGCAATCGGGTAAACAGATTTTCGCTCTTCGGAACGATTTTATACTTGGTCACTTTGTTAAAAATTTCGATTTCAACAGATCATGTTATTTAAGTATATTATATACTTATAATATAATGTATAGTATCAACAAATTCTTGCTATGAAATGTAATGCTAAAGGTGTCAAGCATTCTTATTATACATATAAGAAAAATGTAGATTTTTGCAGGTTTTTTCCGACTTTGTTTCTATGTTTTTCCGATTACGGATTCGAGAACTATAAATTAAATTCTACCTTTTTAAGGTTAAAACTCATTTTACTATCTGCATGAAAGGGAAATCATCTTATCACTAGATTTTATCTAAATGGCTTTAATTAGCAAATGAAAGAATAGTTAAAACTTACAACCACATTCTTAAAAGTATCAAAACATTAATTTCCCATTATATTTTTATTTAGCTAGAATGTGCACTTCAACCGCATTTTCTCTAAGTGTTTTTGAGGAAGGTGGCCAAGCGACAAAGATCGAATGACAGGCTGAAAGTGCAATGAGCACCCCGTTTCCCCTTTTCCCCTTTTCCCCTTTTCCCCTTTTCCCCTTTTCCCCTTTTCCCCATTTCCCCTTTTCCCCGTTTCCCGCTTCCCCAGTCACCTGGGATCATGCTTCACTGACGCCAAAGATTGTCGCTCAGGCGTCCACAATGGGCGCCAGTTGAAGTTGAAGCTGAAGTTGAAACTGATGTTGATGTTGATGTTGAAGTTGAGGCTGAGGCTGAGGCTGAGGCTGAGGCCAATGCCTCAATGCCTCCAGCTTCGAAAGACCGATCCGAAAGTCCGATCCGACCGCAAGGTAAACAGTGCTAAAGACCCTCTGACACTTGCTTACAGTGCAACTAAAAAGGTCTTCACTCTTAATAAGCTATGCTATCCATTCGGAATGTGCTTATTAATTTGATACTTATTTAAACGTATTACTTGGCAACTTGAAATAAATAATGAACAACAGAGTCTTTGATTCTTACTAAATGACTAAATATCTGAATTTAAATTTAATTACCTTACCATTTTAAAAAATGTTTGTACTTAAACGATTTTTGCGGTTTCAGCAACCTACTAAAGTTTTCAAGGAAATGGCAAAAGTTGTTTTTACATACAAATTACGAAGCAGGGTAAACAAAAACATTTAAACATCCACAAGTTTCCACATTAAATCCAAAATGTGTGCTATTGAAGTATTTTGTTCTTAATCTCCCAATAAGTCATTTCCCCTAGTAGAATCAAAAAGTCAAGTTTCGTATTTTCCTTGGTTTCAAGAAAAATTGTTCACAATATATTTAATTGTTTTTCTCAATCTTAAACATTCCGTATGTAACAAGGAGACGGAAGAGATTGAACTGTTTACCTATTTATAGCTATAAAATAAATCAACAGAATACAAAATTTCCATTCGAATAAAAACAAGCTTATTTTTTTTCAATCAGAAATATGGGAGCAAGATACCAAATTACTGTGCAGCAAAAGGAAACTTTTTAAACGCTTTACGTTAAATTTAAACTAAGAATGGCCTTAAATATTTTTTGCTTTAATATAGCTGAATTTAGATGAAAATCGATTACATGGTAAAAATACTGCTGGACTTTACGTTTCTGTCTGCTTAAACTTGTGCTCTTTTGCTCTTCACTCAAGTGCCCATTGCCGTCTATTAATTAGCATACATATTTTGCAAAGTAAAGTGGAGTTAATGCGAGGTGGAAAGTCCAACCGAATGGCAAGTGGTGCAGATATAGATCCGACGATCTTAGTCACTCCTTCACTCGCCAGGACAGTAATAATTTTGCTCGCATTGTTCCCCACCTTCGAAATAAAAAATAAAAAAAAGAGCAGCAAGTATGACTCGATGGTCCTTTGCCCGCGGTGGCATAAAATAAGATTGCAAAGGCAGCGGCAGCGGCAACAGCAAAACAACACACGAGTGTGCAGATGCAATGGAGGACATGGGACATTGTTCTCACATCCACAACCAACCACATCGATATCCACTGGCACATCCACCACGTCCATATCCACCATCCACCAAGTCCGACCTCGTCATCGTAATTGTTGCTGCCCAGCGCCGGCTCGTATAATCCGCTGGATCCACTGACCATCATCCCACCACCCCCGCCAGCCATGGCGTATAATTGCAGACCAGCCACCGCCGCCGCCGCCGTCGAACAGTGGTTCGAGATGCAATTCACTCCAAACTGATCCACAAATAACCACTCAAAAAAGTATACAAAAAAATGTATCCTAAAAAATAGGATATTTTACTTTTTTGGCTAATATGTTTGTTCCGTTTAAGAAAGTTTTTAATGGAATGTTATAATTTAAGTTAAAATAATTATAATTCAAAAACTCTCCTGAGATACGAATACTCCCCCTCGTTATTTTTTATCATTACAACAAATATGCCTATGCTTATCCATTATATTGTTTTAAATTTAAAACATACAGGAACAGGAAGTGGTAGTTTAACAGGCAAATGTGACAGTTGGCTGAAAACCAATAAATCAGCGATCAGTAAGGAATGGCTTCAAATCCCCCATAATAACACCGTTGAGAATTGAAAATAAGAGCCGGCGATTAAAAACAGCCCCACTGTGATCCAATGGGCCGCCGCCTCCGCTACCTCACAGCAAGCCACCAGATGTTCAATCTTCCGCTCGAAGTGCTCGATCGAGTTGGCAACAGTTTTTGGCCAGATCGTAATCGCTTGGGTCTCGGGTATATATGTATATATACATACATATATATATCTCGAACTCTTGGGTCGAGTTCTCTCTTTTGGGCTTTTGCGGCAAAAAGGCAGATGAAGACGACAACTTGGAGCTTATGTGTCAGGTGCGCGTCGTGCCGCGAATGTAACAATTTATTGCACTCGCTGTTGCAGTGTTTTCTTGCTGTTTTTTCTTTTTTTTTTTTGGATTATTTTTTTTTTGCTCCTTATATTTTGTTTTTTTGCTGCTGCCTGCTCCTGCTGCCCGGCCACCAAATTGAATTTTCCACCATCGAAGTTGTTTTCGGCTTCTTCACTGTTGTTCTGTTGTTGCAACAACAAGAATAAGATTCTGGCCAGCCAGGAAGCTTCAGGTTTGTATGTTCAACCGTTCGGCCACTTATTGTCCAATTTTCATTACCATAACGAACTCAGAAATAAGATCGATTAAGGGGCATTGTTGAATTACATCGAGGCGCCCCGAAGAACACAAAACAAAGAAGTGGCAAAATATCAATGT